TTTAAAATTGTTACTAATATTTTATTTAGTCAAAGAAAATAAGATATTAAACAAATTTAAGGAAATATAATGATACTATAAAATTTTATCATTACAAATTTTAGGAAAAATAAATCATGTGCACAAAAATTTTCTACAAAATGTTTGACACAATGACATTGTAGAATTAATATCTATTAAAATCTAGAAATATTGACATAATTTAAAACAAAAAAAAGTTGAATATAAATCAAATAATAAGTTAGCTTGGAGTTAAAAAAAAAAAAAGTCCTAGACTTGTTGATATGAAAAATGAGGAGGTTGTTGAATATAATAGAAGGAAAAAAAATTATAAAGATAAATTATAAAATTTAAGAAAAAGAAATTAAAGAATACAAATGATTCAAGACTTACTTTTCATATAATCTCATGTTCTTGTTGATTTTTTTTTCACGAAATTGGTAGGACCTCCACTTTTTGTTGATTTTCCTTCAAAGAATATGATAAGATCTCGGACTTTGGGTTGATTTTTCTTCTAGAATATTCTCTTGTTTAGTTGGTTTTAGGATCAATTACACCTAAATGTGATCACATACACAAATTACTAGTCAAAACTACCACATCAGTTTAGAAACTCAAGTTTATTAATTAAAATCTTTTCATTCTAAAAAATAATGAAAGAGATGTAAATAATACATAAACAGATTACGAGAGTAGTTAAAACCAACATCAATGAAGAAAGCCACATTATAATAGATACGAGCATTCAAACTAAATATTAATGAATTATTTGATCAAAGAAAAAAACTTTCATAGACATTCTCCACGAAAGAAAAAAGAAACACACAATTTTTATGCGTGACCACTTTAATTTTTTTGCAATTTATAGATGGTTTACAATTGCACTAATATGTTGCATCTCATAGAAATCTAAAATGGAAAATAGAAATGTGTAAAACATGCGCATTGAATCAATAGACATGTCGACCAATCGCATCTCCTCGAAATTTCGAAGTTTAAAGGGCAAAATTGATATATATTAGAAAATTGATGTCAAAATTGGTAGAGAAAAATTCTCCCCCATGGCCCGGGCCATTTATATGTAGTATAGATAATTTATGATTTGATATATAATCAGACTTAATAATAGAATTCAAAAGGTAATTTGAATCTCAAAATTGCCAAAATATACATATAGTTCTCTTCTACTTTTTTTTTATTATTTTATTTTTAACAATTGAGCTCTTCTTTTGGTTTGATTATTTTCATCTTTTCATTTCTTCTTAAATTTTATAGATATAAATTTTCGTTTGCTTATACTTTTATTATTATTTTTTATATTTTTTCAAATATATTGTTATTGTTATATTTATATAGTTTTTAAATATATTTATATGGTTGAGTCTCGGCCAATTTGTATTTGTTTTATATTTTTGTTTTTTTTTGTTATTTTAAAAAATGTATTTTAATTTAAAATGAATAATTTTAATAATTTTTTTTAGGAAATAATTATTTTAACTATTATGACTAATTAAGTTTTTTTGTCACAAAATATGTCTAATTAAATTTATATCATGGTTTATATTTCATGTCAAACGTACAAATTGAAAAATTTGTACCAAAAAAGTAGTCGGTAACAAATCTATATTTAAAATTTTTGGCAACAATTAAATTAAGAGACAACAAATCTATTAACCATAGGAGTGGTACTAGTACCATTTAAATATTTTTATAATAAAGAAATTGAATTAAAAAATTATTTTAAAAAGTAAGGCGGAGAGAATCAAATCTTGGCAATAAGGAAAGATTGCAAAATATTCAACTACTATGGCTATAGTTGAGATTGATATTTAATTCGACTTGGCTTCTTCAAGTTCAGAAACTTCCTAATTAATATCATTAATATTTAACAACTCATTAAATATACCATTAAAGTTAAGAACACCATTAAATACAACTATGCATGCGATTTCCGTCCAGTTGGAAGCTATGTCAACCGATGTCGCAGCCATTTGCTACGACTTCGTTTAGAAGTCGTGGCCAATGACTACGTTTTTTCTCAAATAGTAGCCATTGGATGTGATTTCACTGCCTTTTGAAAATAGTTTCTAATCAACATTATTTCTGTCACTATTTTTCAAAAAAGTCCTATACCTTTGATATAACATATATTGAGTCTGGATTATATACCATTGATATACCTTATTTAATTACATATATATATCTTTTGATATAATATTGAGCCTATGAAATACCCATTAATATACAATAGAATGAGCCTCTCGTATACACATTGATATAACTTATTTAGTTACTCATATATGTGTTGATATACCATTGAGCCGATGATACATAATTAGTAATATATGTATGGTGATATACCATGGAATCTTTGATATACAATTGATATACCTTATTTAATTACTGAGATATATGTGTGTTGATATACTATTTATATTCATGATTTGAATGCTGATATAATATTAATATACACGATATGAATATTGATATAGCAACGATATATTTGAAGGTTGATAGGGTATATTTTACTTCAGCAATAAAATTTCATTTGATGCTGTGGATTAAGAGTGCAATTTTAATCAAAATTAGAAAATTTAGATAATACATCATAAAACCCTATTACCAACCAAATGGAACCATTCAAAGGACTTTTTGGACGTTTTTCTATCGTTTTGAATTAAGAAATGTGATTCACAATTAGGAAGTTATCTAATAATGGCTAATGTGATAGAATGACCTTTTAATATTCATATTCGGTACATTAAATATACGATTGATTGATATATTTACTATAAAGTATATCAATTATAACTTGATATATCTTATATACTTCATATATGGGTAAATTAGTTATAATCGTTATACCCATCAAGGTATGTCGGTTAACTATATACGTTATATTGAAATATATATGTTGATGCGTGAAGTTCGACCTATCCAGTTCTCATCTCCAATACGCAGCAAACTTGATGATCGGGAACCAAACACCTGCAAAACCGAACAAACCAAGATCTACGCCGGTGTGACTTCTATCAGACGGGCTCCGATGTCAAAGTCAGAATAATCGGAGGAGTAGAGTATAAATGTCGGGTTTTCAGAGCGTACCTCTAGGGTTCAGTCCCTCTCCATCTTATATCAGTCCCCTAGGAATTCTAGTTGAATCTCAATCTTCAGACCCGTTACAGGCGTAACTGCGAAACGGTCGTAATTGCAAAACGAGGGTACTGCGAAACGGTTGGGTGGGCTGTTATAGTTCTCGACCGGGGGCCGAGAACTACTCGACGCGGAGGCGCTGCGATTGGCGCCGTGGCACTAGATTGGTGTCGGGATGCTGGGTCGGCTGAGGTTGATGATCTCGGGCACATTTCTTCTTTAACGGTCCAACCTCTCGCCTCGTTTGGACCGTTTTGTTCCCTATAACAATGGCCCCCACTCTCAAAACAGAAGTCGAATGACTATGCCAATTTTATTTTTTTTAGAGTATTTGTCGCTTGTTGCTACCACGAAATCGTTTCATAACATAATTAATTATGCCAAGGTTTCTAATCCACAGAGCATTTATCAAAGGCTTTTGTATCTAGTTTTGGATTTACAATGCTTGATTATTGATACTGGTTTTGTACCTTGAGTTTGTCGATATTATTTCATGAATTGAAAGTTTTTATAATATTCGTTGGTCACAATCAAGTCTCCCGAACCTGCTTTTACTCCTTTGGCCCTAGGATCTAACTTTAGCAGGGCTAGTATCGATATTGTCAGATTTCCAACACGTTTGGCTCGTTTTTTATCCGGTACTTCCCTGCTTTAGTTTTGACCATGGTGAGCTGTTATTGGCCTTTTGCCTGTTTTGCTTGCTTCTAGGTCTGTCCCAATCCTGAGTTTCTTGACTGGTCGTAGACATTTACACACAATGCCCCCTGCTTGAAAAATTTATTTGAGAACGAACATAAAAACTCAAGTACTTATGCCAAATGTCGAAGACTCTTAGTAAGAAAATCGTCTTGTTGGAAAGTTAGTTACAATAAAGTAACTAAGATAAAAGGGTGCTCAAAGCATAAAGTAAATGTGTCGAACTAGTGGTAGTATCTTTTGAGGTGCTGAGCATTCCATGGGTGTAATAAGACTTTCCCGTGTTGGTCTTCCATGGCGTAGGTGCCTGTTCGAACTACTTTAGTGATTTGTATGGGCCTTCCCATGTTGGTCCGAATGACCCACTAGTTAAATCTTTGATATTTGGCATAGTCTTTCTTAAAACTAAATCACATTCTTTAAAGTCGCGTTTCTTAACCTTCAAATTGTAGTATTGAACTATCCGATTCTTATACTTAGCCGTTCGTAGTCGTGCTGTTTCTCGATGTTCCTCTAACAGGTCGAGGTTGAGCTGCAAGGATTCATTGTTGTCAAGTAGACTAAAATGCTCCACCCTTGGGGAAGGGAGACCAATCTCCACCGGCACTATTGCCTCGGAGCCAAATGATAGTGAGAATGGTGTCTCTCCTGTCGACGTACAGGGTGTTGTTCTGTTGGCCCATAATGCATTAGGCAGTTCTTCTTCCCATAATTCTTTGAGTTTTTCTAATCTGGTTTTTAGAGTTCTTTTAATGATTTTGTTGACTGCCTTAACCTGTCCATTAGCTTGCGGGTGCGCTGGCGAAAAGCAGATGTGCTTAATGCCCAGCTCCCTACAAAATTCTCGAAAGGCTGCATTGTCGAACTATTTTCCATTATCACTGATAATGGTGCAGGGTATTCCAAAGCGACAAATTATATTTTTCCAGATAAAGTCGATGATATTTTTCTCTATAATTGTAGCTAGGACTTTGGCTTCGGCCCATTTGGTGAAATGGTCGACTGCCACCACTGCAAATTTGGTCTAGCCCTTTCCTAGCGGGAGGGATCCTATAAGGTCTATTCCCCATTGGGCAAAGGGCCAAGGACTCATTATGCTTGTTAAAGGTTCCGGTGGTTACCTAGGTACTATTGCGAACCACTGACATTTATCACATTTTTTGGTGCGTCGTGTCATTTAGCATGGTCGGCCAGTAATATCCTTGTCGAACTATTTTGTGGCTTAGGGATCGCACTACGAAATGGTTCCCACAAACACCCTCATGTATTTCTCTCATGACATAGTCAGCTTCATTGAGTGTTAAGCATTTTAAGAGTGGCAACGAGTAGCCTCTTTTGTACAGACTTTCATCTTTAAGCACATATCTCGCTGCTTGTCGTTGTAGCTGTTGGCCCTCTATCATTTCATCTGGCAGGATCCCATCCTTTAAATACTTGATCAAATGGCTCATCCAGTTTTCTTCTGATTGCCTTTGCTCGTCGATATCCATTTTTTCCTGAGCTTTTATGCTCGGCTCAAGTAAAATTTCGACCGATATAGTTCTTCCTAGGTCGGTTCCATAAGCTGCAGCTAGTCGAGCTAACGCGTCTGCGTTGACATTTTGGGTACAAGGGATTTGTCGAATCTCAAATTTTGAGAACTGACCGAGCTGGTCTTTTACCCGAGAAAGGTATTTCGCCATTCGTGGTTCTCTAGCCTGAAACTCCTCTTTCACCTGACTCACAATCAGTTGTGAATCACTGAGTATCAGTATGTTCTTGACCCCAATGTACCTGGCCACCTTTAATCTTGCTAGCAGAGCTTCATATTCAGCTTTGTTGCTAGATGCATGAAAATTGAACCGCAATGCATATTCGAATCTTTCTTTATCTGGAGAGATCAGTAGAAGTCCTGTCTCGCATCCTCTAAAATTTGAGGATCCATCTACATAGAGTGTCCAGGGTTGCTCTTCCTTAACTAGCTGTGGATCGATGCTACATACTTGAGGTTTTGCTGGTGTTAGTTCTGCTATGAAATCTGCCACAGCATGCCCTTTCATTGAAGTTCTTGGCTTATAGTGGATGTCGTATTCGCTAAGTTCCACGGCCCACTTCACCAGTCGCCCTGAAATATCTGGCCTTTGCAAAATCTGTCGTAGGGGAAAATTGGTGAGGACCGTTATTATGTGGGCTAGGAAATATGGGCGTAGTCTCCAAGCCGGAGTGACCAGTGTCAATGCCAATTTCTCCACTTGTGGGTATATGAGCTTTGCATCTACCATTGATTTACTTGTGTAGTAGATTGGAGATTGTCGCCCATCTTCTTCCTTTATCAATGCGGAACTCACTGCGGTGTCAGACACAGCTAAGTATAAGAAGAGCTCATCACCAACGATCGGCTTTGAGAGGAGTGGGGCTACCCCCAGATATCGTTTTAGTTTTTTAAAGGTAGCCTCACACTCTTCTATCCATTCAAACTGCCATTTCTTCCTTAGGATTTTGAAGAACGACAAGCATTTATCAGTTGAGCGACTAACAAATCTGTTGAGTGCTGCTATCCTTCCATTGAGTCCTTGTAGTTGCTGTAGATTTCTAGGTGAATCCATCTCCAAAATAGCTTTGATTTTATCTGTATTGGCTTCGATTCCTCTTTGGTGCACTAGGAATCCCAGGAATTTACCTGAGGTTACTCCAAATGTGCACTTTGTAATTTTCAACTTCATTTTGTACTTTCTTAAAACCTCAAACGCTTATGCCAAATCTTCCTCGTGTCGTTTATCTTTTCGACTCTTCACCAACATATCATCCACGTAGACCTCCATATTTTTGCCGATTAAGGCTGCAAACATTCGATTTACCATTCGCTGGTAGGTCGCGCCTGCGTTCTTCAACCCAAACGGCATTATCGTGTAGCAATATAAACCTCGACTTGTGATGAAAGAGGTCTTCTCTCGATCCGATAGATGCATCTTGATTTGATTATATCAAGAGTAGGCATCCATGAAACTTAGTCTTTCATGTCCAACAGTAGCGTCAACCATCTGATCTATTCGAGGCAAAGGAAAAGAGTCCTTTGGGCAGACCTTATTTAGGTCTGTGAAGTCGATGCACATTCTCCATTTGCCATTTGACTTCTTTACCTGTACTACGTTGGATATCCACTGGGGATAATGTACTTCTCGAATGAAGCCTGCTTTCACTAGCTCATTTACCTGTTCAGCCACAATTTCGTTCCTTTCTTGGTTGAATGCACGACGTTTTTGTTTCATTTGTTTATAGCTCCCATCAACGTTGAGTCTGTGTACCATGACTCCTCGATCGATTTCTGGCATGTCCTCATGTAACCATGCGAACACGTCGGCATTGTTCCTTAGGAAGTTTATAAGGTTCTTTCTTTCTTCATCCCCCATCCTGGTTTCGATGTTGACTCGTCGATCCTCAAACGTCAAAGGGATAGATTCCACCTCCTCAGCTGGCTCTCCCCTACCGAGGGTGGTCGGACTTAGTTGATGATCAAGGCTCGGGTTTGTCTTTTCTGAATGGTCAGCAGTTTCGGCCTGGCTCTTCTCTTCGAAATGTTGCCAGCCCTCACCTGGGTTTACGTCGACGTGCTCCATTCCACCTTCCTCAGATCTGGGTTTCGCCTCGGTAGATCTGGGTTTCACCTCGGTAGATCTGGGCTTCGCCTTGACAGATCTAGTTTTTTGCCTCGATTGATCTGGGTTTCACCTCGATTGATCTGGGTTTTGTCTCGGCAGATCTGGTTTTCGCCTCGGCTGATCCGGGTTTCGCCTCAGCATATCTAGGTTTTCACCTCGACTAATTGCTTGGACTGTGTCGTCCCCACAGACGGCGCCAATTGTTGATGCGTGAATTTTGACCTATCCGGTTCTCATCTCCAATACGCATCAAACTTAATGATGGGGAACCAAACACCTGCAAAACCGAACAAACCAAAATCTAAACAGGTGTGACTTTTGTCACACGGGCTTCGATGCYAAAGTCAGAATAATCAGAGGAGTAGAGTATAGATGTCGGGTTTTCAGAGCATACCTCTAGGGTTGGGTCCCTCTCCATCTTATATCAGTCCCCTAGGAATTCTAGTCGAATCTCAATCTTCAAACCCGTTATGGGCGTAACTGCAAAATGGTCGTAATTGCAAAACGGGGTATTGCGAAATGGTCGGGTGGGCCGTTATAGTTTTCGGCCGGGGGCCGAGAACTGCTCGACGCCGAGACCAGGCGCTGTATTTGGCACTGTATTTATTTCATTTTTATTTTATATTATTCAACAGTGATCTTTATTTAATTTAAGTGTGAAATCTCGGCTAGTGTGTATTGTTACAGATTTAGTGGTGAGTTAGTAGCGTGTAGTATTTATCAAGTTATGGTTTAGTACGGATTCCGCTATGTGACACTTGTTCTAGGCCATTGGACCAACTACGAAATTATATTATTGGTTTTGTTAACAAGGAGTGATTGGGTAAGTGGGCCTTAAACAAAAGAAACTAGCCCAAGTGAGTTGTATGTTTCAAAACAAAAGAAAAAGGGGAATTAAAACAAAACAACCCTAGCCCATCTTGTTCTCCTTCCTCTTCTTCTTCCTCCCTTCCCTTTCTTGTTGAAGCCGC